ATTAAGGAAATTGCCCCGAAAGCCCCCAGTGCCCCCCGCCCCTTCTTCTTTGGTAATATACTATGCCTGTACGTTGTGATCGCCCCTTCTTTTTTTCCATCTTGCATATTTTCAAAACCCCCAATAAACAATGCCCCATGCACCCCCCAAAGAGCCTTAAAAGTCAATAGGAAACCCTCAATGCCCGATGCCTTACCCCTATTCATGCTGAAGACCCCTCTGCCACCCCTTTCCCCATAAATATCAGCCTCCACCCACCCCATCCTTTTCTTCTATGCCTTATGAACCCCCCCCGAAAGCGCCTGCCCGGTGCCCGCCTCCCACCCCCTCTCCCCTTTTTCCTGAGCCCTTCACTGATAAATGTCTACTCTCAGTGGGGGATGAGGACCTCACCCTTTGGGGATCCCCCACTCCCGCATGTCTCTAATGCAATAACGTGGTCACTCTCCTACGCTCCCTAAACTTACGCGCCATACCCAGTCGGTTTATCCCCCACACCATCATCCAAACCTGAACGAAAAGTATCGCGTCAAAACGTTTATTATGAATCTCCCCAAACCTACCCCGAAGCAGTGCATATTTCCCCCCCTTACCCCCTCCATAAAATGCCCGCAACTGTCCCCCCAAATAATTCTGCAAAACCATATCTCCACTCGCTTCTCACGGCCCCCTTGCTCTATAAAAAATTGCGATCCCCGGGTTTTCGCCCCCAAAATCCACCATTCTACAAGCTCATAGCCCGGTCCCTATCTCCCCAAAAAAACCCCTTCACCCCTATCAAATCCCCTTCCCCCCCCCCTCCCCCGAAACCGGGACATTAAAATTCCCCAAAAGCCGGGGTAAATAGCCGGCACCTTCCCACGGGAAAAAAAGTCACTATCACTGCCCCATGGTCCGAGAAACCCACATCAAAGTCTGCACCTCCGACCTCCAAACCTTTGCGTAAATCCCGTTAGTCTTTTCAGCATACCCCTTGCGAAAGAAGTGTGCTCCCCCATATAACCCCCTCCCCCTGCAAAATCTACGACACCCACGTCCCCCAACAATCCCTCAGAACAGTAATACCAACCCGCCCCCCCCGGTTCAACATCCGGCCCGAATTACACAATTCCAATCCCCCCAATAATCGTGATGGCAGGCAATCCCCCCCAGATGGTAAATAAGTCTTCCCTCACAAAAACCGCTTTTACTCGTGTATTGCTCGACGCCGGCACATACATCCTATGAACTGCCTTTCTACCCCCCATACACCATCTCCCCCACAAACCCTCCCCCCGCCCCCTCCAACCGTGAACACAAGGGGGTGGTCTCCTTTTTCGCTTTGCCACCCCCCCTTTTAAAACCAAGACAAATAACGTACAACTTATACCCATGCAACAAAACTCACTACCAATCTTTTGTTGTGTTCCTGCAAAAACACACATCCCGGAACCCACGTAAGAAAACCCTACTAACCCCACAGTTTTTATCTCGCCCTTTAGACCCTTAATTTAGAGTGACCAACCGAAATTTATAAGAACGGCGGTTCCCTCTATGCCTCTGTGGGTTGCCTCATCCCCTTTTTTGTGCGTCGGCCCCACCTCACCCGATTTCCCCCGTCTTCCCTCCCACCTTTTACCCTTTTATACAGAAATCAGGATCCATTTGATCCTTTTTGGGCCCGCTCTCCCCATCCCTTTTACCGCTTTTTTGCCCGGCCTCTGCCCTGGGGTGGTACTTCCCGGCCTAACCCTGCCGAGGCCTTTTCCCGAACCCCTACCCACAACGTCTTCTCCGCAAATGCTCCTGATGGACCTTTCCCCCCACCACTTGTCTAAACGAGTTCCACCCTGTTTTACCAAGACTGCTGTTCCCCCCTCAATCAGCTCGGCAGCATTAAGGTGGAGGCCCCCACCCCTCCCAAAAAAAACCCCTTTAACACGTCCTCCAGTAAATCTTCCCGAGGCCCTTTTCTTCCTGATGGAGACCCCCACGTCCCGTCTGCTCCCCCGAGCCCCACGGGGGGGTAAAACCCCGGTACGACCGTCGGTACTTCCCCATCAACCTCTTCATCCAAAGACATGTCCTGTTCCCCCTTTCCAACTCAGGATCAAATCAAAGCCGCTGCTCCCCCTGCCAAAGTACCCGGGCCCTGGTAGGGGTGCCTCCCAGGACCTGTGTGCCTATGGTCGTAGGAGTAATAAACGAAGGTCCCTTTTCTGGCCCGGCATTGACAAAAAACTGTGTCCTGGAATCCACTGCAGAGTAGGATGGTATAGGCCTAGCCAAACGCATTTTGGGGTATAAAAACCCTCAGGTGTTTCCCTCTATGGCCCCTTTTCCATATCCCTGTAGGAAAGAACTTTTCCCTAATTGTTGAAGACCCCCTTATACTATCGCAGTGCCTCGAAAGGGGGTTTCTCACCCTTACCCAGATTGTACCTGTTTCGTCGTGCAAGCGAGTCCCTTCCCAATTAAGTCACCTTCCTCCTGGTACTGTCAACAGTTTGGTAGGCCCGGTTACGATTCAGTTTCAGGAATACTTGGTATCCCCTTTAAGGTACACCCTATACTTCCTCTTTTTGGGGCACCTAGCGTCTGTATAGGGGTGCAATGTATTATCGTTTCACCCGTGAGCGTGCCCGTACCAGCTGTATACAAAAAAGTGTTGTCCGTGACCCCCCGTACGCCATTTTGCCTTTCAGTTGCTAAAGGTCACCACCAGAGGGCAGGTGTAGCTACTAGGCGTGCGTCCTCTCTCCCCGGAGGTCGAGAGACGAATGATTTCCTCTTAATTAACTCGACCTAACGCTGTCAGTTCTCTGTCTTAAAGACTGCACGAAGTTCCCTCACAAATGTCGGACACAGCCCTCCCCTCAGCTACTCTTTTTCCACTACTTCCTACACCACCTGTCCACAAAAAAAATCTCGTCAGTGGTTTGCAGGAATTGCCTTTCCCTGAAACCTTTCACATCACACTGCACCTCTAGACATGATATAGTAATCACCTGCCATCACTGCTGCTGTGTTTGTAACTTACACAGTAAGTTTATTCAGGTATACACAAATACAGTTACATAGATTATCATACATAACAGTATATGTGTAGAGAACCTGGGATAACAAAAAAGTCAGAGTGACTTATTTCCATTGGTTTGTCTCCCCTTAACCTCCGCCACCGCCGCCGCCGCCTGTACCCGCACTGCATAATATATCCCTCATCATGTAATCCCCTCATTAAAATAAACCATACGATGGGTGGGGTTTGAACCTGCAGTCAGGGAGTCTCAAAACTCCAGACTGTCGCGTTAGCCATGTTGAGTCATGTTGACGGCTTTGAGGGGACTTGAGCTAGAGTTCGTCATGGCCACGCTAGCTGGAGATTCGTCTGTAAAAACTTGCATTTGTGGTCACAGTGGTGGCCTATGCTAACCTTCCTATGGTGTAGAAATATACCTAGTTGGATGAATCTTATTGTGGCTAGCTGGTCCAGTGGCTAACGCGACGGTCTGGAGTTTTGAGACTCTCTGACCGCGGGTTCAAACCCCACCCGTAGAATGGTTTGTTTGCAATCGTGCCATTACGATTTCGTGAATCACCCTCATTAAAACCCCATTAAAAGTACCGTTTTGTTAAACCGACCAATGTATGTCTTACGTTGAGAAAGTTGTAGAAATATTTAAAACCGAGTGTATATTATGGTATGACGTATCTTGTGTCGTATGTGTGGCTTCTTACGACTGCATTTAGTGCTATCTTCATATTTGTTTCAGTTTACTGTTGTAATGCTAAAGGATGAATACTTATCCATAAACTGTGACATCGCAAACGAATGAATATACGTTAATCTTAACAATTAAATGACGTCTAGTATATAGACCCCTGGTTGTCTTCAAGCTGGCGCTGGACAGCCACCTGAAGTCAGTATCTGACCAGCCGGGCTGTGGTTCATACGTTGGACTGTGTGCAGCTAGGAGTAACAGCCTGGTTGATTTGGCCCTGATCCACAGTGAGGCCTGGTCACAGACCGGGCCGCGGGGGCGTTGACCCCCGGAACTCTCTCCAGGTATAGTTAAGTCAGTTGCAGGTGCATAAAGTAATTTTTGAGGGGGTTGAGGTGTATTTATATTGTTTATCAATAATATTTTCTATTTTAGGCTTATCTCAGCTATGTATTATGTATATAAAGTTTTAAATTACACGTTTTTGTATTTAAAAAGAACACATGTATGAAATACTTATAAAAAAAAAATTATATATATATATATATATATATATATATATATATATATATATACCTGGAGTTTACCTGGAGAGAGTTCCGGGGGTCAACGCCCCCGGGCCCGGTCTGTGACCAGGCCTCCTGGTGGATCAGAGCCTGATCAACCAGGCTGTTACTGCTGGCTGCACGCAAACCAACGTACGAGCCACAGCCCGGCTGGTCAGGAACCGACTTTAGGTGCTTGTCCAGTGCCAGCTTGAAGACTGCCAGGGGTCTGTTGGTAATCCCCCTTATGTATGCTGGGAGGCAGTTGAACGGTCTTGGGCCCCTGACACTTTATATATATATATATATATATATATATATATATATATATATATTATATATATATATATATATATATATATATATATATATATATATATATATATATATATATATATATATATATATATATATATATATATATAAATATATATATATATATATATATATATAAAGTCACGTAGTGTGTCAGTTTCAAACCTATTAACTATATTCGGGTCATTAAGGAAGAATTTCTCAAGTACACAACGTAATTACTACAATACCTCAGAGTCTATATACAGAGATGCACACCCCTTGGTATATATACACGAAGATGTATATATTTGTGTGTAAATACCACTGAGGCACGTGTAGTCTTTATGGTTTTGGTTCAACTATCTGATGGTTCCAAATCACTGACCAATTTCGTTATATGGTTCGTAGGTTCAGGTGTTTAGTGTGACAGGTGAGTCGCCAGGTCAGTCAACAGGTCAGTCAACAGGTCAGTCAACACTGGTGTGGCTTCACACTCTGGTATATTAATTCTGTCTCTGATTTTTGAGTTTCCTATGGGAAAAATCTTGGAACACAGACATTATGCCTTTCAGGACCCAACAAGGTAATGTTAGTGTTTGTATTAGATGTGTTGCGTTAATTTTAAGAGACATATTTTGTCTTTCTAAAAATAGTTTCATTATTTATATTGTCCTCCGTCACCCCGCCATCATAGTATTTCCAAAATATTTTTTGAAAATTTTTGACTTTCCTAAAAAAAAAAAAAAAAATAGCCGATATTCCCTATTTTAAGTTTTGTGAACCATTTATGTTAATATCTCAGTACAAGTCCAGTCAGTATATACAAGTATATTAAAATGTATCTTGTGAAATTCCTTAAGACCTCTAGACTTATTATTAAATATTAGCCGGTATTCTCCCGGCCCGGGCCTTTTCCAAGTGGTGGCCCGGCCTTGGCTCCCTCTTTAGGGAGTGTCTGAGACCTAAGTCTCCCATGGGAGGAGGCACAAGCACCTCCTCATCTTTGGGACTAACTGTCCCCAGGCCTAGCCACAAGCTAGGCCTCTCTGGTCTGCCATCCCCGTCCCAAGCGGGCAAATGGGAATGACAGTCTTATGAGCTAAAGGCTCGGGCTTAGGCACCTACCCTACCCTAGAAGGGTTAGGCATGGTGTCGATCCACCTCTAGACTTGTTCACAATTAAGTTACGTTGACAACGATAATCGGAAGTGATATTTCATATATTTTTATGTTACATTTATAAATAAATTGTTTGCCACTAACAATAAATACATTGGATAGTACCATTAGATAGTATATACATTGGATAGTACCATTGGATAGTATATACATTGGATAGTACCATTGGATAGTATATACATTGGATAGTATATACATTGGATAGTATATACATTGGATAGTACCATTGGATAGTATATACATTGGATAGTACCATTGGATAGTATATACATTGGATAGTACCATTGGATAGTATATACATTGGATAGTACCATTGGATAGTATATACATTGGATAGTACCATTGATAGTATATACATTGGATAGTACCATTGGATAGTATATACATTGGATAGTACCATTGGATAGTATATACATTGGATAGTATATACATTGGATAGTATATACATTGGATAGTATATACATTGGATAGTATATACATTGGATAGTACCATTGGATAGTATATACATTGGATAGTACCATTGGATAGTATATACATTGGATAGTACCATTGGATAGTATATACATTCGATAGTACCATTAAGGCTCTAGCAAGTTTAGTTATCATTGAATCTACTTCCACACCTTCCTAATTTATGCCTTTGACGTACGTGTGTGTGTGTGTGTGTGTGTGTGTGTGTGTGTGTGTGTGTGTGTGTGTATTTATTTTTATTTATTTATTTATTTATTATAATGGTACGTTTTAAATCAATAAGTCATTCCACATGCTTGTTCTGTTGCTATACTGATATTTTCTCTATCATTTAATATTTTTACTTGCGTTACCTTAGTTTCACTGTTCGTTAAATGATCATTGAACAATATAATTCACATAACACTTGTGAATTAAGACCAGGTGACTTTAAATTATTTTCTCTGTAACAAGATAATTCTTAATTATGCTGTTAACACTCTTGTTACATTAAGATTTAGGGAATGTTTGGTCAAAGTGATCGTGATCTTTGTTTCCATTTTACTTAAATCATCAGCTACACTTGTGCCATTTCCTGGAAACTCGATTCTATATCAAGTGTGGCATCAACAACCTCACTCTCCACTGGTCCCGTTAAGACGAATATCGTAATCTAACAGCCATTTCCATATCTTTCCCGTTGACTTTAGATCTTAACTTTAATACCTCCAAATAATCGTACAAAGGGAACAGCTTTTCTAAAAATCATGGCCTCTTGAGTAACTTAAATTAGGGAATAGAGACTTTTCAGTTTTCGCATCATGGTCAACATTTACTGGCACTTTTATCATGTACCGCTTGACACCTTAATATTACCCTCGTCTGTTATCAATCCTTCGAACAAAAGTGTTTTAATTCCCTCTATTCATAGACAAATTTACCCTTATCTACATTTATTTCTAAAATATGTACGACCACACGATGATTATATCTGAGCCACATAGTGAGTGCTGCTCTTACGTCAATGTCAATTCAAATTCAAACAGAAATATTAATCTCAATCTTAAAATAATGAATCCTGTGATACTCCAATGCTGAAACTATGTACTGTGCCAAAACAAAAGCATTCACATTGCTAAACTCACAAACTAGTATTTAGTCACTTAGCCATAATACCAACTTACCTCATAATTTGTAATATTTTACAATTAAGAATAAAACTAAGTCTGCCCGAAATGCCTAGCCATGCTAAGCGTTCTAGTGGTACACTCCGTAATGCCTAGCCATGCTAGGTGTTCTAGTGGTACACTCTGTAATGCCTAGCCATGCTAAGCGTTCTAGTGGTACACTCTGTAATGCCTAGCCATGCTAAGCATTCTAGTGGTACACTCTGTAATGCCTAACCATGCTAAGCGTTCTAGTGGTACACTCTGTAATGCCTAGCCATGCTAAGCGTTCTAGTGGTACACTCTGTAATGCCTAGCCATGCTAAGCGTTCTAGTGGTACACTCTGTAATGCCTAGCCATGCTAAGCGTTCTAGTGGTACACTCTGTAATGCCTAGCCATGCTAAGCGTTCTAGTGGTACACTCTGTAATGCCTAGCCATGCTAAGCGTTCTAGTGGTACACTCTGTAATGCCTAGCCATGCTAAGCGTTCTAGTGGTACACTCTGTAATGCCTAGCCATGCTAAGCGTTCTAGTGGTACTCTGTAATGCCTAGCCATGCTAAGCGTTCTAGTGGTACACTCTGTAATCACAATTTTACTACATGTAAACCAAACAATAACCGAATTTCTGTAAACTCAGCATTGTAATCCTTCTAGAGAATAAACTTTGAATTTGAATGTTGACCAATGTTGCCCTATGTAGCTTCAGTGCTTTGTTCAAGCCTTTGTGTTGTGAACAACCTTCCTAATCATTCTCATAACGTATGTCCCCTCTAGGGAGGTTCCTTGATGCTGGTGAGAGGCTCTTGATCTAGGGAATTGGATCTGTGCTCCAATTCCCCGAATTAAGCCTGAATTCCTTCCACACACCCCTCTCCACAGGCGCTGTATAATCCTACAGGTTTAGCGCTTCCCTCTTGATTATAATACTCATAACTTATGTCGATGCTTCCTCTGCCTTCCATTTGTTTTTAATTCTGGGTTACCTTTAATCCTACAACCTAGTTTTCTTCCTAATAATTCATATTTTCTTAAATTTTGCAACACCCTGAAGAGTTTTTCACTATTTTTTTCTTGACCATTCTGTAGAAGGGATAATTTACACATTAAAACTCTCTCATCTCGACCTCATACCCATTGTCCTTTCCTTTATTCCCGTGATACTTTATTTGCTCGCTTTGGCATAACCTGTCCTAATGTTATGCAAAAGCGTATGACACAACATGGAGGTCTGGCATTCTGTAGTCTCCAGACTTTGGGGACCTTAGTGTCCAGCAGATCGTTGAAGGTTAGGGTTGAGATTGTGCTCCTCGTGAGTTAAACCTAAAAGGGTGTTGAGTAGGGGAACCCACAGGGTAGTATTTGGAGAATCACCTGTTTTATTAAAGCAATGGATGATGTGGTAAATGTTAACCATGATGGTATAAAGGCCTCCATATGTTAGATTTTGCAGTGTACTGTATGGAGTCGACTGGCATGGCCTGTCACAGATGTAACCTGACAATTGGTATTAGAGCTGGCTGTTTCTAATGGCTACAGGCCTCCTTGAGACAGTTTTTAACCTTGTCCCAGGCTTGACAATCTGCTTTCCATTTGCTACTCCATACGGGTGGTCCTTCCTTACGAACAGCAAGGATACTTCACTTTTGCTTGCCTTGAGCCTCTCATAAAGCTGTGTGAATGTTCTGCAGTTGCTTCCTCACGGAACCTCGGTAGTTCAGTGGACAATGTTCGGCTTACATGTAGCTGTACCATGCCTGCTAGATCTACTCTGCCAGATCTCTTCAGTTTCATTTACTGAACTGTTAGGGGAAACAAGTCTTTGCCTAGGTGGATTTTGTACTTTTTCTCTATTAAGAGCATTAATTAGGTTTTCCCTCCCTGGATCTCTGCCATGAAGAGCTTGAACAAATAATGCACAACAGTGCCCGGTGGCCTGGTGGCTAAAGCTCCCGCTTCACACACGGAGAGCCCGGGTTCGATTCCCGGCGGGTGGAAACATTCGACACGTTTCCTTACACCTGTTGTCCTGTTCACCTAGCAGCAAATAGGTACCTGGGTGTTAGTCGACTGGTGTGGGTCGCATCCTGGGGGACAAGATTAAGGACCCCAATGGAAATAAGTTAGTCCTCGATGACGCACTGACTTTCTTGGGTTATCCTGGGTGGCTAACCCTCCAGGGTTAAAAATCCGAACGAAATCTTATCTTATCTTACACAAATAACCCGCACATAGGGGAGAAGCTTATGACGTTTCGGTCCGACTTGTTCCATTTAAGTCACACTAACACATGAAGGTGAAGGAACCAGTAAATATAAGAGGGGGACAGGGACGGGATACATCTTTCCTAATAACAATCTTAGTCCTGGCTTTCTCTGTAGATGCCTTCCTATCTCATTATCAGGTGTTCCAAACTAAAGAAAACTCGTGACTTGACCTGATCTTTTCTTCTCTACCTATTTTTCCTTTCTTCTGCCTAGGTGTCTTCTGTGCTTCAGTAGTCCCCCTCCTCAGTGTTTTATTTTGGTTGAACCCTTGTGGGTATTTGGCTCTCCTGCAGTGCTGGTTTTTCTTGTCCTTGGACTTACTCCACTTATACTTTCCTTGCTTCATTCCTCTCTTGTGCCACTATTACTACTACTGCCTCCCAGCATACATAAGGGGAATTACCAACAGACCCCTGGTTGTCTTCAAAAGGCACTGGACAGGCACCTAAAGTCTGTACCTGACCAGCCGGGCTGTGGTTTGTACGTCAGTTTGCGTGCAGCCAGCAGTAACAGCCTCGT